CTACCGGACTGAATGTCAGGTGTGTAACGCAACATACATTGGGGAATCCGGGAGGGAATACGCGTTAAGGTAAAGGTCAACGTAACAACACCGCTCGGTAAGAATTTAGTTGAAGAGCATCACGGAATGACTTTGATGTAAAGTGCAAAATCCTAGCATACGAGACTGAGATTTCCGCTAGGAAAGCGCTTGAGGCATTCTGGATTCACGCGCGGAATCCCAGAATGAATAACCGCTATGAGTGCCTATCCTCCAAATGATTTCTTGTCGTTTGCGCCACATTGTGAGCTACTGATGTAAACACTGAGACGTGCAGGTCCGAAGTATTGCCTTTATGCACAGTAATGCTCAGTTACTAATCATAACTAACCTGGAGTGGCGCTGTCCTACTCTTGCGGTGGTGGACTGGGTGAGTTTATTTCCCTCGTTCGGGATTTTCGCTTGTTCCCTTAACGTTCCGTCAGAAACGCTAGGGAGAGGAGGCGTTTGGCGGTTTAAAGGACATATCTCAAACCTTGAGCCACGTTTAGGCCTTTGAGGAAGACGATCTCGTCGAAACGTCAGGCCACTAATAAAGTTCCACCTAACAACCTCGTTGGCAGAAGAATAACACTATAATTACTCCTGCGACTATTTCTGCTCTTTTGTTTGGCACTGGGCAGGCTCCGAGAAATTTTGTGAAGTGGTCTATAATCGTGACTATGTATCTTTCCCGCGACTCGATAAGCCCATCTCGAGCAAGTCAATACCAACTATTTCGAACGGCCTGGAAACTACAACTGGCTTCAGCGGAATTGTGTTAACCTTATATAGGTTATGCACAAAGCACTTTTGACATTCCTGAGACCATTTTGCCTGCCCCAAAGCCAATACGCTATTTTTTGCAAGCCTTTTCAAGGTGACTGTAAGAAACTAACGAGTGTGAACGTGTTGAACTCTTCAACCTGAACGATTCACGTCAAAATTCCCTCGAAAGTAGCTGTTCCAACCTGTTGAAAACGTCGCAGGCTCATCGTCAGCGCAATATTAAATTGGATTTCAATTCTGGAAGCGTGATAACGATTCAACGGCAAAATTGTCAGCCCATGCCAATCTTGCTGCTCAACGGGTTGTTTGGACTAACAAACAATTAATGTTTAGAACAGTAAAGCAAAGGTACCGCGAGCGCTCATGTCTGGATTGATACCTGGCACTCGGTTGTTCGACAAAATAACGTTTCACTCAGAGTAGCGCTTAGAAGATTCCGATAAATATTTGTTGAGACATAGACAGAAACAAGCACATCCTACTGTGCGGTAATACTTGGAAAATTTTCATGGAAACTGTTGCCTGGCCATACTTGAGAGTCATGATTATTGCATATTTGATCTTTTTTTCATTTTTTATATATTCTATTCTTTCTTCGTGCTTTCGTTCCGGTTTACTATTAATTATGAAACACTAAAAGCGCTGCTAAAAGAGTGG